CTGTAGCGGACGTGGCACCAGGCTCCCAACTCCCTCCGGGCACCTCTGTGTGCACAGACCAGAGCCGCACGGCAGGCACCATATTGCCTCCTCCTCCCCTCCGCCGACCCTACCCCCGGCTACCCAGAGAGATAATACAGCCACCAGTGTGAGGAACCTCCAGGGAACGGGACCTTCCCTTTTGGGACCCTACAGCTGACTAAGGGGAACTCAGACTATGAGCTCCCTACCCGCCAGCCCTCCCTGGTGCCGCTGGCATGGTGTTCCCAGGAGAATGGTGCAGGCTCAGAGGCTGAGACACATAGATCCAGGGCTCCCTGTGGGTGAATTGGGACCGGCACTCCTTTCCCTGGTGGGGATACAGTTTGAACTCTGGAACCCAGAGGTCGGACCTACACCCAGATCCCGTCCACCGAGGTGTCGCATTGCCCGGGGCACAGAAAGGATATACGTGAACAGCTTACTGAGGTGTGTGTGCCTTCAGGGGCAGATCAGCATCCTAGAGGGCAACCCTCCTCCCAAAAGGAGGCCGTACGCCCAACCCAGGTGCGTTCCTGCGCAGGGAACCTCCCCGCTGGTTTCACAATCCGGGGAGGCCTGGTGGCGTGTGGTCTGGCCTGCTGGCAGAGGCCCAGGAGTAGCTGCGGAGTTGGGGAGGGTGGAAAGAGGGCAGGCCCGCTCCAGACTGCGGGTCTCAGACAGCCTCACCCCCACATGCAGACTTTCTGGCTGAGCGGGGCCATTCCAGCCCCTCCCTGACAGCTTTTCATGGAAGCAGAGAACAGATCATTGACCCCTGTTAACTGCATTGGTGGTGCCTGAGGGGAACTTACCCAACCCAGCTCTGCCCAGAACAAGAGCTGATAACAGGACATAAAAACAACAGCATAGCCTGTTCCTCCTAGCAAGCGCCACCTACTGACATGGATGGCATCCTGCACAGCTTTTTCACGGCACCCACTGACTCATTATACAGGGAGTGATTGAATCTCACCCACAGACACCACCTACCGGCTCATAAACTAAACAAGGCATGCAAATACCCAAACAAAAACCTAAATGAAAGAAACAACAACTGATCAACATGGGAAGGAATCAGCGAAGGAACTCTGAAAATATGAAGAACCAAATGGAAAACACACCCCCAAAGATGAGCACCAGCCCCCTAGAAACAGACACCAACCAAAATCAGGAAACCAAAATGACAGGAGAGGAATTTCGTATGTGGATCATAAGAACACTCACTGACCTGCAACAACAACTCAATAACCAATACAAAGAAACCACAAAAAGCCTACAGGATCTGGAAAAAAAGTTCACTAAAGAAATTGACACAATGAAGAAAAGTTTAACCGAACTCCTGGAAATGAAGAATCAATTCAGGGAACTACAAAATACAGTGGAAAGTCTCATAGGGCCAATGGCGAGCGGAGAAGTATGCTTCGAATAGCAATCGGCGAGAGAGGGATAGCAGAGAGATGATGAGTATACTAGAAAACCCGCGGAGAGGGGGGGAGGGTATACATCAGGAGGTAGTATGCGGAGAATCAAATTGCATGGATGTGGTATCTAATGAGATATGAACATATCAGAGAATATGAAATGCTAAGAAGAGAGATGGACAGATGGAAAATCTCTTGTTCTTGTTGGTAGAATCAGTATCATTAAATGCTTTTTCTTTTAAAAAAAGCGCCGTTTGTTCTGAGCGTTAGGCGCGATTCTCAAGGGTGAGTTGAGGAGTTGTCCCGTCCGTGTAGGTCATGGTCATATCAAAAAATTCACTTTGTTAGATCGCCTCACGAACGTAAAAAGACCAGAATCCAGTATCTGTACTGACACAAATCAGTTGCGACTAGAAATTGCCCTTTGTAAGCATGGCATAGAACTGCTGGATGAAAGTGTACACTGGATAAAAGGGAGAGAAAGATGGAATTACATGGCTCACTTTAATAAATTCTATTAACATGATGTTTTGATCTTATAATATACATACTTGTGTATATGTATGTGTGTTATACATATATATCCATATATATATCTTTGAAAAGAACATAGGCATATTAGTAGACTAGGTAACAAGCAAATTTTATTGGGCAATGTGTTGACTGAATGATTAAAGCTTGGGGCTTCTACCTAAGTATTAATGAAAACTCAAAAGGTATTTTTTATCATTAATACTCATACTCTTGTACGAATATCACCACCATATTTTACTATTAATCACTTCATTTATACTATCTCATTTAATAAAGCAAACTTCCACATAAACTGTGGCATATATAACAAGTTTCCATTCCTGCTAGTTTAATTCAAGTGACCTACAGGATTGAGGAAGTCAGAAACGGGGAAATTATTTTCAAACTGGCAATAATATGCTCAATCTGTTTTCTTCAACCTTAATGTAAGCCAATGGGTCATTGTAATTTGAATGAATATGAAATATTAAATGTCTGTTTTGTCAGTTTTATTGGCCAATTGAATTGATTATATAATTTTCACATTAACATAAAATATACTTTAATGTAGAAGGACTTCATCTGAACGTATCGAAGTTGGGAAACAGATTTGAGCATATCATTTGAATATATACGACACGAGTTTAAAAATATGCTATTCTATTTTCCCCATTTGACATAACTTTGTAGTGAGAAATATGTCATAAGACACATGATTAATGGCAGGAAAGGCTTCTGGGACTTTAAAGGATGGGTTATTAGGATAATTTCTAGAATGAAAATATGTAATACAGAATCACAAGTTTTTTCAGACTGTCTGCCAAATATCATTCATCTGCTCTTTTATGAGGGAGAAAATAGGGAAGCTGATCCAGAGTAGAACTGAGCAAGTAGAGAGAGGAGGAATTACATCTCTTAAGTCCTGGATTTATGTTCACACTTCATACTTCATGTTTACTAATGCTACTCACTGCAACAGTCTATAGAATAAACTGAATGTTAAATGACTTGCCAGGTCAAATAGCTAGTAAAGATAGAGCAGAGATTAAAGCTCTATCTGGCTCAAATACACGTTTAGGTGTATAAATGCATCCTGTTCCAACTGGCTGATAACCACTGAGGCTAAAGGCTGCTTATTGAGCAGCTGGGGATAACCTCACCTTCAGAATCACCTAGGTCAATTAGGGAAATGTAGGAAAGAGATATTAGAGACAAGGAAAGAATGCTCAGCTATCTGATGAGATTTCCCATGCTAAGAAGTATCTCGTGGGACTAGGGAATAGTTCCACTAGGCAGTACAATGGTATTCATGCATAACTTAAATGTCTTTATGTACTCATAGTGATAATAATCTTACTAGAATCCTTTCTCACTCGATCAATTAACATTTTGAAGCTCAGATAAGTGTAAGGAATAACAATAGTTGAGTGCAAAATTGATTTTTCTATTTTTTATATAATTTTCACACTTGAATTGAAAATTTAATGGATTGCTTTAAAACACTCCTTACCATCGCTGGCCTTCTTGCTAAAGAATCAGCTTCTTTGAGTTCAATATGAAAATTCAATGACCTCGTTTGTAGATACCAGCTTCTATGTTTTTAATAAGATGCTCCCCCAGTATTAACATGGCATAGGAATTGCTCGGTCAGCTGTGAAGAGAATTCTCAAGAGTACTGGAGTTCATTATTCAAGGTCTCGCTCTTTATGTTTTCTAGTAGGAAGGATCGTCAGGAGCATTCTCCTTATCTGCTATGTACTCTGCTGATTATGACCCTTACCCATACAACACACAAAAAAAAACAAACCAAAATAATAATACATAAATAAATTTACCAGAACAGTGGCTCAGAACCAGCTTATTACATTTTCTAATTGAGGGAAATTTTTAAAGAGATTATGCAAGTTAATTTAAGTTGGTTAAATAACATTTGAGCCAAAGGCTAAGATAATTTTTAGGAGATAATGGTTTTAATCTCCTATTTTTTTAGGAAATGATAGTGAAATAGCAGGTTTTACTTTAATATTTCTAAGACTTTATTTAGCAAATGATTTTCAAATTTTGATACAGGCAGTCTAAGTATCTGGGTAGTTTACAACAACATGTACATATGGTTATTTTACCTCCAAGGGGTTCCATCCATGAGGGAAACAGACATATCATTAATTTAATATAAGTGGAAAATGTTGAAGGGCGGATATAGAAATCACAGTATATCAGAGATTTGAACATTGTCTAGCCATGGTGATAATATTTGATGAAATGTCTAATTGTAATATATAACAATAAAATATTATATAAGGTGTAACTTGATGATGATTATGTTAATTGCGAATCCACCACAATAAGCTAATTAAATTTCGTCTCACCTGACATTACTATCTTCTTTTTTGTGTGGTGAAAACATGAAGTATAT